CTCAAAACACCCATGAACCTGTTGGGCCAGGAACAGCAGCAGAACAAAATAAAGCTGCACGTGGAAGGAAAGGACGCCTCTTTTCAGTCAGCTTCAACCATCTGAGTGGAGGAAAATGCCTTCCATCAACCTGGGAAAGGTCTCCCATCATTCTTGCACCTTCTAAAAGACACTGTGGGTCACAAGTTGTGTATAAAAAACAACCTCTGTGCTGCTCAGTTTCTGGTGAACCTCTCTGCTTAAATGAGGCTCTGTTCCCCAACCCATCAGGCCTCATCTCCAGCTGAAAAAATGGCACCAACAATGGTGCCAATAACCAGTCTCTGCGATGGGCAGCAACTCCAAGAAGTGATCCACAAGCGAGCCCAGAGGCCTTGAAGAGCTGGCTGAGCTTCGCTTCAGTGACTTCTAATTCGTGTTTCAGTGGCTGAGAGGATGCCGAAGCAGCAGCAGCAAGACTGGCCACTGGGACATCATTTCTCCAAGGCCAAGATGCCCCCCAACCACTGACATAATTCCGCACCCTCGAAGTGTTGCAGCTCTGTCCGCGTCCTTGGGCCACATTTCCTATGACGCGCCTATCACTAGAATGAACCAGGCAAGCAGCTTGCCAAGAGTTCCCTGCACAACATGGAACGTTTCCCCACCGCCCCCAAGGGGATTTTCTTTTGCTTTGATATAAAGTTGAAAATTGAGGCAACCAAAAAGAAGAGTGCTCAGAACAAAAATCTCTCTCGAGAAATCCTATACTGCTAATAAGGAGCACTAGAAGAGCTGTTATGGATCAGGCCCCAGGCTAGAAATTTTATTTAGGAAAGTTGAACTTGATCATTCTTCCTTCTGAAACTTTACAATGTACATGAAGTCTTAAACGTTTGCAGATTACAAACAGAGTCTTCACCTGAACCCTTTCCCCACCCTGTTCCCATAACTGGGAGTCGCCACATCCATCACGGTCGGTCCGTGTCTCCTGCATTCAATTTGTTTGAAATCACAAGTTCTTTCCATCCCAAAAGTGTGCATGTGAATACATTCCTGTCAAGGCATTCCCTTCCAACTGCCCCAGCCCCATTTAAGAGGTGCGGCTCTGCCAGCAAAGCAAGGTCCCTGGGAGGAGGAGGAAGAGGAGGAAGAACCTGCTCACCCATTCCCAGAGGGCACCTTGGCTGCTGAGTGAAGTTTTGGAGGATCGCAGCATTAATTTCTCAATAACCTTGACAACACTAAATGGTTTCACACCCCTCCACGGAGGCAAGTTTGCATTTAATTTGATTTAATACTAGGACATTTACTCACCTGCGGATGGGGTGGAAGATGGACAGAATCCGCTGCAAGAATATTAAGCCTTTCATTTTCGCTTAGAACTTGGAATACAAGTTCCAAGCTCTCTTGCCCAACTGGCTGCAAAAGCACTCCTTGCTTTACGTATTTGATCAACCAGAGCAATTCAGACACTCATCTTTTCTCTGCCCAGCACCCCCATTCCAACCCCACTCACTGGCATGGCTTGCCTTGCCTTGCCTTGCATGTGTTGTTCTCTTGCACTGGAAAGGAAACTAACTTGTCCAAACAAGCTCCATTCATGGGCTTTTGCCAGCGCACTTGTGACGTCTTCATACCTAATCAGAGCCAAAATGTACTGGGATCAGTACAGGTGCACGACCAGTGAGCACTGGGCACCCACACATAAGGTCATCTGATATTATGATCATGTGCACATATACACTCAGCGTTAATGCAGGTTTAAGTGAATATATAGTTAGAACTAAACTGGGTGTGATAACTTTGGGAGGAAAGGTGCCATTTCAGTTTCTCTCGTATCCTGACAGACAACCTTGTATCAGCCCTTACTTTCTCCAGAAGGATCCGGAAAGACTATGGAAGCGGGCAGGAGACAACAGGATGGCGTTCAATGTGGATAAGTGCAAGGTCTTGCACTTGGGGCATAGGAATGGGTGTCATAAGTACAGGTTAGGGGACAAGTGGCTGGAGAGCAGCACTTGTGAAAGGGACTTCAGGGTGCTGGTCGACTGCAGGCTGAACATGAGTCAGCCGTGTGATGCGGTGGTCAAGAGGGTGAACGCCACCCTTGAATGCATAGCCAGAAGTGTGGCTTCTAGATCGAGAGAGGTATTACTACCACTCTACATGACTCTGGTGCACCCACAACTGGAGTATTGTGCTCAGTTTTGGGCCCCTCATTACAGGAAGGATATAGCCAGGTTGGAGTCAGTGCAGCGTAGGGCCACAAGGCTGGTGGCCGGTTTGCAGGGGATGCCGTATGAGGCGAGACTGAGGGAACTGGGTCTCTTCAGCCTGGAGAAGAGGAGACTCAGAGGGGATCTGTTGGCGACATGAAGGTATGTGAGGGGGTGTCACACGGAGGTGGGTAGAGACCTGTTCTCCCCTGCAGAGGAAGGCAGGACACGCTCCAACGGAGCAAAACTCAGGAAGCCAAGGTTCCATTTGGATGCCAGGAACCACTTCCTGACAGTCAGGACCCCAAGGGTGTGGAATGGGCTTCCACGGGAGGTCGTTGAGGCCCCATCGGTGCGGGTGTTCAAGGATAGGCTGGACGTGCACATGGTGGGCATGTCGTGAGCAGAGCCGGCTGGAGTCAGGGGTCAGACTAGATGGCCCAGGAGGACCCTTCTGACTCGCTCTTTCTATGTTTCTTATTTGAGTTTATGCCCCACCTTTTCCCACTGTAAACTCGGGGTGTCTACATGCAATCACCCCACCCAGCACTCACACAGTCCAGAGCAAAGGCAAGGCAGCTGCCAGCTGGGCCAGAAGAGATTTTATCAAAATGTTCCATGGACTGATTGTGGGGCTGGATTGGGCCCATGGCCTGAGTTTCTTCTGGGCTGATCTAAACCCTCCTGCAAAACAGGGGGAATGAAATACGTTCTCACAAAGCTGGTTTAAGAATCGCCAGAAAACAGTGTGGCGTGCTGAGCGGAGACACAACCTTAAAAGCAAGAGACTTGGATCACGATCCCTCTGCCCCCGCAGCAATACAGTTCAGGGGCTGATCTTCGGACACCCTTGATGGTGTACCCTACCTTATAGGGTTCTTGTAAAATTAAGGAGAGATAAATGGGATGTTTAATGAAATAGCCAATGTGCATAAAGGGCTTTGAGCATTTAAATGCCCTGTGTAAAAACTGTTATTGTTGGCATTTTACATGCCCATTTTTTGACCATTTTGAAGCGCCAGCCCCTTGGGAATCTGCACCACTCAAACTACATCGCTACTCCACCCCCTCTGCTCCAGGCAAACAAGCCAACCTCCCTCAACCATTTCTCACATGACGGGTTGCCATATTACTGGCCATCTTCAGTGCCTTCCGTGAATCCTTCCAATTTGTCCATATCCTTCTTAAGTGTCCTTCTTAAACCCAGAACTGACATAATACCAGAGAATGAAGTGGAACTTATTATGACCTGTGGCTTTTCCATTGGAGGCATTTAGCATGTGCTCATCACTCCCCACTCAGAATCATATGCAGGTTCTTTAGACAATGCTGTGACTCTTTGGCATTTTTTGGCAAGTTTGTTTTGCTTTTCCCAGAGCAAGGAAAATGTGGCGTTCAAATGTAGAAGTGGAAGAAATGCTTTTTCTCCATCTGTGTTATTCTGCTATGCCACAGTGCCACCTACAGGTTACATAATGGAAATGCAGGTAGAAATGCTCTTTATGGGGCACTTGGATTTCAATTTGGCAACAAACTGAAAGCAAGGGAAGCATATTAAAAACCTTGTGTAAAACAGCTCTTGGCAACCACAGTTGTGTTAGTGGGGTTTAAAATCACAGTGGTGCTTTTGCTTGTTTGTTTGTTGCAGCCATACCCCATTGCTGACTCATGTTCAACAGCCAAGCAGTATTTCAACCCTGCATTACTGTAAAGGACTGCGGTTAAATCTAAGGTCCCACTAAAAGTTTTTCCAAACACTGTGGGAACAGCCAATTTCAAGTTTGTCTCAGGCACCCTCAGTACACCTGCAATCTGGCCTTGCACGCCGCAGAGCTTTTGATGACGGTTGCCCCGATGCAGAGTCCTGGAGCAGCTGAAAGCTTGCTTTGATTGGGTGCCCTTTGGGTTGACCCTAGTAAAGACATTGCCTGAATGGGGAATTTTAGGTTTCTGCTTCCGAGGCAACCTGTAGATCTCTTTATTTGCAACCAACTTTAAGGTTTCAAAATGACTTCCTGGGGCTAAAATTAACATCTGTAAACTTCATCTTAGCACCCGCGTGGGGGTTCCATATGAAAAAACTTTTCAGGATTCAAAGCATTCATGTGCATTATCTAGTTGCAATCCAAGTGACCACCCTGGAAAAGAAATCAGCAGGAAGAAGGGCTGAAATGGGGAGAAGGTGGCTTGCTGAGGGCCGCCAGATGAGGTCCTGATGGAGGAGCGCTTCAACCAGCCTCCCAGTCTGCAGCAGAGCCTCATGGCCGCAGGCCACAGCAGCTCTCTCTGGAGAGCACCAGGGAGCCCGGAGCCTTCCTCCCCACACGCCATTTTGAATATTGACACCCACTGAGGGGCCTCTCCGTCCCCTGATCCCAACCACATCTTTTCACCAAAATAATTCCCGAGGCTATTCAACCCATGCTGGCCAGGCCCAGTTGCAGAACAACGATAGAATTACCCTCAGGACACAGAAAATGCGCCTTCCTATGGTGAATTAGGCAGGCATAGGTGGCATTCCTAGCCATAAAGGAGCGGCAAGTTGCTAGTCCTCAAGGCTGTCTCTCCGTTTTCCACCTGCAAACTGGGGAAGCCAGGTACTCCACCCCCGTGACCTGGGTGGCTCTCAGCCCCCCCCCCCCTCGGCTTCCCTTGCCCTGGCCCCCCACCGCACCCATCCACACTACTGATCCCCCTCTGTGGCACGAGCGGAGCCCGCCGCCCCACCTTCCCGCGCCAGCCCAGGGCCGAGCGAGGAGCTGCCCGGCTGCGCCCCCCGCCCCGCCGGCCTTCCTTCCGCAGAGATGCAGCAGCGGGCGACGCGCGGCCCGGCCGCTCCCTCCTGCTAAGGGCGCTGCAGGACCGAGCGAGTGCGGCGGAGCAGCAGAGGCGCCGCGCGAAGGGAGGCGGCCGGCTTTGTCGCGGACAGTCCTCGCCCGCCGAGCCTCGCCCGAGCAGCGCCCGCTCCGGCTGCCTCCGCGCCAGGTGGAAGCGCTCATGCAGCCGCCAAGGTATGGCGGGGGGGGGGGGCATTTCCTGCCTGCAGGGCATAACGGCGCGGGGGGGAGGCTGGGGGCAGTTTCCTCGAGGCAGGGCGCGCGCCCCCTTCCATTCCTCCCCGTTGGATGCCTCTCGCGTACTTTCCTTTCCCAACCCAACCTTTTTGGGGGGGCGGGGGGCACGACACCTGGCCTCCCTGCTGCCCGCCCTTCTGTCTCCCCGCCGCCGGTTAGCGCAGGAAACGAGCGAGACGGCCCCTCTTGTCTCCACGCGCTGGAAATCGGTTTAACTTTTCAAAGGCACTTTTTGCCACGCTCCTAAAGAGGGAGGGAGCGAGCGCGCACGATCCGGGAGCGAAGAGGCGAGGAGACCCTCCTCCTAAATCAACCGCCCAGGTGGGGCACACCTGGGGGGGCTCCGGAGGACGTCCCGCGGCGCCCCCTTGGGCGTAAGAGGAAGAGCTGCAGCCAGGTGTTGCGCTCGCCCCCTTGCGCGTTTCCTCGGGAGTAAGTCCCGCGGGAGCCAAGGGCGCCTCTTCCCAGGTGGGCTAGCAACGTGTGACCGCGCAATGAGCACTCGCGTGCGCCCAGGTACCCGGGGAAGCCCTGAAACTCTCCCGGATTCAGCAAACCTGCTTGCACGTGTTAAGCTACAGGCTGGACAGGCACCTGAAGCTGAACGTTCACAGGGAGTCATTTTGCTCCCACTTGCTTCCTGTTGACCGGATGGGCTTACTTGTGAGTCAGCCTGCAGTAGACAAGACATCTCAGTCCGCTATCCTATGCATTCTGGCTTTATGAGTAAATCTTCTAGTTTCCATAGGGTAGTTCCTAAGACTCAGTCTCTGTGCGTGAGAGAGAGAGAGACAGAGAGAGAAATGCCGCAATCTTAAACGCAACCATTATTGGAAGAAACCTCCTTTCCTGGATTTCCCTTACGGATGCAATAGCGAGACGCAGGGTGCGCGCAGCCCTTGCTCTGTGAAACAAACCGCGCAGATCGCGCGCTCCTGCTTTCGGACACGGACATCCTCCTCGCTCCCCACGCCCGGCCACCCCGTCCTTCCGAGCGCGTTCGCTTGAGGATGGGCCGTGAGATTTTATGCGAAATACATGGTGCCAAGTGCAACATGATTTTAGGTGTGGCTTGCTGCGTATTTGTCTTAATGTGTCCCCGCAGTCTCTTTTGACGGCCCCGTCCAAACGAAGCCCCGGTGGTCGCGCGGGCAGCCACAGAAGAGAGTTCGGCGTGGGCTGAGGCCCTTTCCCTCTTGCGCAGTGCTCGGCGCGCATTAGAGGTTGCGTGCAGGTGCGGAGCATCTCTCACATAGCAATAGCATCAAAAGTTTGCATCAATCCCGGGTGATTTTAACTGGCTTTTGTTTTTTACTGAATGAACTCAAGGGCAAGGAGGCAGCATTCATTTTCCCCGAAGGAAAGGCGCAGTTACTCGGGCTTCTGTGGGAGCCTCTTCATGGGAAGGAATCACTGCTCTTCCGTTCTACACCTGCAATCTTTGCGACTTCCTTTGGAGGAAGGCTTCTTAAATTCAGTGTGATTCATTTTAAACATGTACAGAATTGCATTGTAAGTATGTAAGAGCAGGTGATTCCTTAGTGGTGAAGGACAAGTGCTATGCAGAATTATGGTATCATAACAGATCTAGGTTGGTGAGTGACGAGTTTACATACGGAAAGGGCACTGCTAAGTGAGGTCCCAAGCATCTGGTGGCGTGTGTTTGTTTTTAACTTGCACCATCTAAACATCCAAGGAACATGAAGGGTTGCTAAAAATAGTTGTGTTTAATAATTGTATTATTTTTATTATATTTCTATACCACCCAAAGCCAGAGTTCTCTGGGCTGTTCACAACTTTTAAGTCACCCATCCAGATTTCAGCCAGGTCCAACTCTGCTTAGCTTCCAAGATTAGGCAGGACCAGGTACTTCAGGCTATATACCAATATATAATTCCAAAAGATATACGGGGGGGGCGGGGGGGGCTTACACAGGATCCCTGATGTGCTTCAACAGATTGCAATTTTTTAAAAAATGCAATGCAGAGTTAAAATAGCATGATGGGCATCTAAGCAACCATTCCGATGGTGAAAGTATGGAAGCCAGAGGAATAAGGCAAAATTTCTGGATAGTTATCGACTGATACATGCACACTATATATTTAGCTAACACGGTGGATTGGAACTGATAAAAGGTGCGCCCTCTCAGCCATTGGTGACATTCAGTACAAATTCACAGACCGTAGACTTTCCTTCCCGGTTTTGGCCACGCTTCTAACATGTTGCAATGCCTTTCTCATTTTTTAATAAGTCTCCATTGCGTTTGCAAAATGAGTAGGTGTGTATTTAATGTCCTTGGTTGTAGTGTGCAGGCAGGAGATGCAAGTTTGGTGTTGTTTAGATGTGAGCCCTGATTGCCGCCTGTTGGAGTAATTGCATTGCAATTGCTCTGAGGTGGAATCAATTTCCCAAATTGAGATTTTAATGGGAAGCTTGCAAGCGGCTGTTATGTCGTGTGGTTTGGGGAGGCTGCGCACGGGTCTCTCTCCCTGCCCGCCCCCGCGCCGTGGACCAGGGAGAGCAACGCCACCTGCTGGGAATCACGGCGCCAACGCTGCATTTAAAATCGGGGGAAAGGCAAGCAAGGCTGCACGGATGAAGGTGGACGGCGCAGAAAGCTGGCAAGAAGCGAGCGCTGCACTCGAGGCGTGGTGCTGGAGGAGAGCTGTGCGTCCAGGACTGTCAGGAAGACGACCAAGGGGGCCTGGGGGCAGGTCGATCCAGAGCTTTCCCTGGAAGCAACAAGACAAACCACAGCCTGTCCTACTTGGGACACATCATGCAAAGGCAAAACTCCCCGGACAAGAAAAGAAAAGCACATGAGGCAGAGGAGGCAGAAGAGGAAGGGGAAGGCCAGGCATGAGGCGGTGGACTCCGCAGAGGAAGCCGTGCCCAGAGCTCGGTGGGTTGGAGGAGACTCGCCCGCACGCAACCCACACATTCCGCCGAGTAGGGAGGCAGCATGAGTCGGACTCTCAGTCTGAAGAGAAGCCACAGGAGCTGACCAAATGAGCCAGTGGTGTAGTGGTTAGAGCAGGCGACAATAAACCACTACCTTTAGACAGTTTTGATGCTACCTCCTCACCTTCAGTTTGAATGTCAAAACCGAGCCTGAATTGCACTGCCATGAATTGCACTGGAGGAAGCGGCACAGCTGAGAGATCAGAGACTCCAGAGTGCATGATCTTCTGGGGAACCTTCTTTAGACGGCCATGTGGGTTGTATCACCAGCTCCAGAAAGTGGCGCGCAAGTCCTCTTGCATGTGGGGCCCTAGACATCCACTCCCATGCTTGCCCTGAGGGCACCACTTGTTGGCTGGGTGACCTTGGGCCAGTGGCTATTTCTCAGCTTGGCCTACCTCGCAGGGTTGCCATGTTTCCTGACGCAAGCTCCTGGGTGGAATACAGGGCCTAACTCGTTCACACTGGGACTGGTAAGCCACCTTTAGCATTTAGCTAAAGTAACCTTGCGTGGAATCGCCAACTTTTTACGGGCCTGGAATCCATAAAGCAGCTTAGCTTGCTGCACTTGTCTCTCTGCCATGAAAAGGCCCAGCTACCAAGTCCTACAAAATAAAACCACGTTAAAGACAAAGAAGCAGATCAGTCTAGTATTTTTTTCTAGTCAGGTGGCAACCAAAGATGAGTGAGGATTCATGTCTTCGGGCTTACATGCCTCCATGCCATGATCCTAGCCAAGCTTTCTTAGAAATCCACGTGTGCATTTCTGAATGGGACATCCATTGTTGCAAAAGGGTATACAGTCTTTGAATCATGGACCTTTCTTCCAATGAAATACTCATTTGCTTGGCTATGAGGGAATTCTGTAAGCCCCCCAAATTATAGCCTTTCCAAGTTGGCAACAAACCTTAGCCTTAAGTTCTCATCTTTGCAGCGATATGATCAAAGGTGCGACTTCATAAGTCCTTGGGTTCTGAGGCCATTTACAGTGTAGAAATTCCCCAGACTTGTAGCATAGTGTGATAGGATGCAAGAACATTGTGTTCGGAGGGTAGGTAAAAACTCAACAGACTTTTCCTTTTTAGGTCTGGATTTCATTCAGTTTGCTCCCACACCCACACAGTGGGATCACCTGGATCTTTTTTTTATATGTATTTTAATTGGCTATCTTTTGCAAGTCCACCACAAAGGCATGCCTCGCTCCTAGAAATATCTTTCTCAGTTCAGCCTACCTCCTCTCAATCTCTCCTGACAACAACCCTGCAAGGTAGGTTGGGCTGTGACTGGCCCAAAGTCACCCAGCTGGCCCCATGGCTGAGCGGGGACTCAAACCCTGATCTCCCAGGTCCCAGTCCCAAGCTCTTAACCACTACACCGCCCTGGCTCTCAAAATCCTTTGCGGAGCAGGGAATATGGCTCTGCAGAGCTAAATCCAGGCAGAGGAAGGATGCACCCAACAAAGATATGGACAGAAGGGAAGGTTGCACAGCGGTTTGCACAAGGTTGCCAATTAAAAACACATAAGAATTATCGCATCAGAATTTGTGCCATATTTGAAGATACCCCTCACATTGTGCAAGTTGCACAACTGGTGGACTCTGAAAAAATGCCCACACTCTTTCCAGAATCATCAAAAAACCACTGCAGCCCCAGAATGGAAACACTGAGAAACCCAGTTGGGCTTCAACAGAGCAGAATCTCCTGCCTTGCAAACAGGACACACTTTCCCCCGAGCTTCCCTCTTGGCCCAAGCCACCAAATGTGCAGAGCTGTTTATTAGAGAGTAGCCGAGATGTGAAATATGTACAGTTGGGGAATGTTATTTGGGACAAACGCTAATGGATAGGTAAGGGTGGCTCCCTGCTGAGAACAAAATATACAGAGAGAAAATCGCAGCCAAGCCCACTGCGGAATGGTTTAGAGCAGGAGCCCGTGATGTGTGAAGTTTATATCTCGTTTGCAACAGGAGGCGAGAAAGAAACGCCATCTGCCAAACTGTGTATACAAGGAAGGCTTTGTTCCATCACAAATATCTCTGTGCCGTCTCGTGAGGAGGTGTTTGGAAGAGCCTCGCCTCGCCTCGTCCTTCAGCACGTGTGGTGGGCGTCGCTGGGGAGCCCCGGGGCCTGCAAGCCCGGATGTATTTATTGAAAGGACTTTCAGGCAGCTCCTCAGCCCCAGAGAAGGGCTCCAGGAGGGGCTCACAGCCAGGCAGAGCAATAATCTGCTCCCCAAAAAGGAAGGTGTGGCACCTGAGGAGGGGAAAGGAGGGGAGCAGAAAGGGGAAGTCAGCCTGAAGCTAGAGGTGCTTGGCTTGCTCCCACGTCCCTCTCCTGGCTAAGTTCTGGGTGCCTTCTGTCAAAGTTTGCAGCAACCAGTGGGTCACAGCAACCTCGTCTTCGTATGTTTGTTTGCTTTTGCATATGATGGATCTCTCGGCACGCCTGGCTTCAGTGTCCACATGCCGTGGCTTGGAAGGGACAGATGCTGCCTCCAGAATTCCTCATTCTCGTGCCATCCCAGTCCAACCACCACAACTCCACTGGCCACACCATTAGGGGCTTACTGTGGTTGGAGTCCAAAACAGCTGGAGATCCACCAACCCCTGGTGATCCCGAGTGTAAAAGAGAACAGCCCTGTCATGTGGGAAAGTGAGGGGAAAGTTACGGCCTTTCTACGGATTGAAGAAGAAAGATTTGATGTGAAAAGGAAGTTTTGCCAGTCATCTCACAAGGCTGCATTCCAATAGCCTCCAAACCGTGTAGTTTGAAGGACCACTGGAATTAGCTCCGAATGCAAGTGTTCCTTCCCTTCACTGCCTGTTCTGTCACACACAAAGCTAAGCGCTTTGCTTCCTTGTTTTATCCAACATCAATCTGCTGTTACGTCTTACGGATCTGATGAAAGCTCTGGGAGAAGCAAACTGAGAAAGGTGCATGTCTCTGAGTAATTGCAGGCTTAAAACATAAGTGGATAAACTAACTTGCACATATAATTGTGCTATAATTTCTAAATGAATATAAAGAGCGAACACCCATGCATTTCAGTGGTCTCACATACAACAAAACCCCAGTTTGTCTGCCTATATACGCAATGTAGTATTGTTACCTCACCTTCTTCCCCTTGCGAGGAATGCCAGGCAAATTACGTGGCTCTCCCCCTCTCCTCACAACAACCCTATGAGGTAGGCTAGGCCAAGAGTCCATGGCAGGCCCAGAGTCACCCAGTGCGCTTCATGGAACCAGGAACTCAGCTTTCCCAAGTTCCAGTCCAAGTCTAACCACTGTGCCATGCTGGCTCTCGCAGGCGATGTCACGGAGGCCTTCCACCTGTGGCTTAAGAAGACTATTTTGTTCAAGGTAACATATATCATGGAGCCTGGGCCAGCTGGCTTTGAAAATGTAACTGTGCGACCTCATGTACCAACACCCCTAAGCTAGCCTTGCAAGCCAGCAAGCTGGGCTGCAAGGCTGCCTTGCGTTCTCCGGTCCTAGTTTAGCCATTTGGATGCAACAGCCAGCTGGTTTAATTCAAGCAGGAGGCAAGATCTGCCTGCAAGGGCAAAAGGGCAGGTTTGCATTCAGGACCCATTCTGGGACCATTAAACCAGCAAGCTGTGCCCCAGACATGCAGGCTGCCACGTCCAGAACTCCTGGCATGGGCTGCGCTGGCTGTGGCTGCTGGGAATTGAAGTTCAGAACATCTGGCAGGTGCCAGGAGGAGGAAGAACCCTTTGCCTTATGTCTTGGACTGGCATGCCTCAACCTAGTTCCCTCCAGGTGTGTTGAACTAGAACTCCCATCAGCCACAGCTGGCAGGGAATGGTCACCCAAGTGGAGGCACCAGGTTTGAAGGAGGCTGTTCTGAAAGGTCATGGAATGCTCCCATGGTTGGAAGCTGCAAGCCACAATTCCGTTCCCTGTGCGTTGTGCTGTTCCCAGGGTTGGGAGGGCCCCTGGGCAAAATACCCTCCCGGCTGGTCCCCAGGTGCTTCTCCTCCAGGGGTTTCAAAAAAGCTGACAGACAGACAGGCGGACAGGGTGGATTGTGACTGCAGGCCAAGCCAGCTGCACGCCTTCCCACGCAGGAGTGTGCACTGATTCCAGCCCTTCAGACACCTTACGGGAATTGCTCCCATCAGACGTGGTTTCCAAAGGCCGCCTCCCCACGCAGCCCCTGGGAAGCGAGACCTCTCAAACATCCTTCTGCCTCTTGATCTTGGGGGGTCGGCTGGCGGCTCTTCTCGAGGGCTGGGCTGTCTCTGGACAGCAAATGCTGGGGGCGAATGACAGGCCGGGCCCGTGGGAGCTCCTCGGGGCTCCAGCTGTCCCCCGTTGGAAGCAGGATGCCGGGCGAACGGGCCTTGGCTGCGTGCCGCAGGATCGTCCCGCGTTTGCGCCCTGAGCTCCTCTCCGGCGACGCGTCCCCGCCAGGGACGGCCTGTGCAGCGTCCCGGAGCTGGGCGCCGCCTCCTCGCCAGCCCCTTCGCGTTGGTGCAACCAGACGCGCGCCTTGGCGACGCGGGCGGAACCTTCCCTCTGAGTGGCGGAGCCGCGAGAGCCGCAGCAGCTGCGCAGACACTGGGAGGCAGCAAGAGGTGATTGATGGCCGGGCTTTCTCCTCGGGAGAGAAGGGTGTCTGGCGCGCTCGCTCCATCCCCGGGCTGCAGTTCCCCGCACAGCCGAGCTCTGCTTCTCCTCTGGGCGCGTTTCTGCCGCGTTCTTGGTTTATTTTTCCTCTCTGCCGCCTCCTCCTTGCAACTGATCGCTTTTCCCCACTCCTCTTTCCCTTCTCTCTCTCTCTCTCTCTCTCTCTCTCTCTCTCTCTCTCTTTCTGTCTGAAACAACTCTTCTTATAGGGAGAGCCTAGTGGTTAAAGCTGAAGCTGGATGGATGGGTATGGGGAGAGGGGCAGGAGCGAAAGCCCTGGCACTGATGCAAACCCTCTTTGTCTCTCTCTGCGTCTTCCCGACAGGTAAGAGCGCGGCTCCCGTTTTGCCTTCTCTCCTCCGCGGGTTGTTTGAATGCCTTTGCCCAGCCCCGGTTCCCTTGCGCCCCTCCGTCCCCGCCACTCGCCTCTCCTGCGGCCTCTGCTTTACGCGCCGCTCACGGCACTTGGCCACATGCGCGCAGCGCCGGCGGTCGCTTCCAGCCGGAATCACCCCGAGCGAGCGAGCGAGCGAGCCCTCCGTCCCCATCCCCTCGCGCGCTTGCCCCGGCTGCCCAGCCCGCTCCGCAGTCGCTAGCCTGCCGCCTCCGGGCGCCTTTCGCCCTCCCGCAGAACCAGGAGGGCGGACGGCTGGGGAAAGCTCCGCTTCCGCGGCAGCAGCGCCGGCCCGCTTCGTGGCGCGGGGCACGGGCTTCCCCAGCAGCGCTGCCCCGGCGGGTGCGCGTGACGAAGGCGCAGGCGGGTTCGTGCCGGCCAGGTCCTTCTGGCTGGCTGGCTGCCTGCCACAGGGACAGCGAGCGCATCGGCCAGGAGGCTGCACGCCTTTTTGCGAGCCCCAGAGAGGCCTTTTCATATTTCTTTCGAAGCTGGGAGGGACCGTTGTCTGGATTTCCCTTTCAAACACGGTTGGACTTAGCACTTTGAGAACCCGGGCCAGGAGGTGTTGCGTGGGTATGTTTGGTCGGGGAAAAGATGTTTCTTCACACAAGCGTAGAGAACAGCCAGGTTGCTTCCTTCCTTCCTTGTGGCTTTGTTGCAATGCACCAGGCTTGGACCTGCTCCACCGCTTCCCGGTTTGATTCCAGGCACAAAGCAAAGTGCAGTTCATACCTGTGAGGCCCAAAGTGGTTTGGAGCTAGAATTATCTGGAGAGAGCAACCCTGTCAGCTTGCCCGAAACTTGAATTCTGTCTCGGAGGCCTTTCTGTGGATCTCACCAGCAAGAGAGGCTGAATCCAGGGGGAGTGCAGAGCAGGACCTCCTCTGTGGTAGCACCCCAATCGTAAAAACTTTCGCTTAAGGAGGTCACACTGGCCTCTCCTTTGTTCAGTTTTAAATCCTTTGTTGTTGTTCTAGGTGGCTTCTGAGTGATTTTCTGCATATTAACTCTAGCCTCTTGTTTATAAAATATTGTTTTTCTCCTGTTCTTAATTTACTGTATTATGAGATGGTGTGCAAGGTTTTAAAATGTGTATCAAGGTTCTAAATGGAAGGTTTCTCAGGGCACTCTTTCGGGGTGAATAAGTGGTTCGGAAATATTGCTGTGCACCTACCAGATCATGTGTCGCGTCTTCACATGTTCTATGTATAATAAACCAGATTGCTGAGTTTGCTATTGGGGCAGTAGGCAAGGAATGACCCTTTGGACACACTGCCTCCTTTCTTTAAAAGAAAAAATCGGTGGAACATGCAGCCAGATGCATTTCCTTGCCGTAACCTGCCCTGGACTGCTGTCTCTGGTTACCTGGTGAGAAACCTTAGCCGAATGGAGGTCTCCAGATGTTACTCTAATCAACATTCCAAGGCAATAAATAAATTAAAAATGGGATGTCTGCTACACACACACAATATGTGTCTCTCTACACACACAGAGAGATTATCTCTTCAACCGCCTCCCTTCAAATCCCCTTCTCTTATTTTCTTTGAGAAGAGCTAACTTTCCTTTCTGCTAGCATTCCGGACTGCATCCACTGCCCCCCTCTCCCCCCCCCCGTGCCCCCAGTGCACGGTTTGTTTTTATGGTGTCAGAAAAGGAGCGAATTTTCAGAATCACAGCTGAAAACGCCATCTGTTTCCAATGAATTCCCCCCATTGCTTTTCACAATGTTTCTGGCGATTCTTGCTTGCACATTCCTTAGAGCTCCGAGGGCTTGTTTTTGTTGGGGGAGGGGAAAGTAACTTCACACAGGGAGAGTTTGTTCCTTCCAAACTTCTCCGGTTTCTTTGCCTCTATGCCGCCCCCCCCCCACCTTCATTTAAGGCAAAGTTTGGGGGTGGGAGTAGAAGGAATTATTAACGCTCTAGGAGTTGAATCTTCTGATAGCCTTTGCTACCTTAACCGTATTTTGCCTTTGCAACACTATTTTTACGTCGTAACGTGTGAAAGGATTGTGCCGAAGGGAGTACTCTTGAAAAGGCAAAGCAAAACAAAGCACACGCCGAAATTAGTTATTTTTGCATTTGCTCCGGTCTCGCGTTCAGCGACAGCCCCGTCTTCACACACCGGAGCAATTCTAACGAAATGCTTTGGAACCGCCTCGCTCTCGCCCGGCTGCCTCTGTGCAGATCGGCCGGGAAGGTGCTATTGGATCCAAGATGTTACTGAATTCTTTTTAAGCGAAACATGCCGGAGCTGAGATCACCTTGCAAGAAAGGACTTGATCTTCGATCCGGGGTGTGTGGTGACTTGCGTGTGTACGCTTTCTTATTCTTGCCTGTAGCGGCGAGGATACATTAACCGAGAGTGGCTTGGGGCCTTGATGTGTAGCAGTCTCGACTTTGGTTTTTGCTTTTTAGGAGGTAGAACCAGGAGGTTATGGGACAGGAGTGCAGATGTTCCAAACAGGGTTGTCTTGTTCCTGTCTGTCCCGCAATGTCTTAACTCCCCTGCCCACAATCCTAGGCATTAAAAGGAAAAGTTGGACCCGAATGTTTGTGCAGCCCCCTCACTGGACCAGCGTTGATTTCCAAATGCAAGCTTTCTTAAATCAGGCAGTGCATCTGTCCAGCAAGCATTCTGCTTTCCTCGGGGCCGGGGCAAAGCTTTGGGTGCTTGTCCTTCCGTTTGTCCCAGGCGCCCACTGCACGGAAGGTCCATTCAGCTCTGATGGCGGTAGTAGCTGACAGACACTGTTCTCCTCCATGCATTTGCCTAGGCCCCCTTGAAAGCCTCTTGACCATCCACCACACCACAGCTGGTGACCACCCCAGCCAAAAGTCCAACCCGGGATTGCCAAGTGTGCTTGGACTCTGTCTCCCACCATCCCCAGCTGTCCAAGTGGCGGGAATCGAAGCCCAGCGCTCCTGGAGAGTGCTGGGTTGGGTGAAGGCCCCCGGCCATGCGTGCAGTCCGATGGAAGTGCAGGCTCCGGCACACAGGTGCGTCTGGCTGGCCTGGAGAGCCCTGCAGGCCTTTTTCTGTCTCCGCGGGAATCGGGTGGTGCTTGGAATGGGCTTTGCGGAGCCGTGAGACAATTGCTGCTTGGCCTGCCGCAGCTGGCGTGGGCACGCCTTCCCACGTTGCCCGTCAAATTCTACATTGTGTGGTGAAGGGTTTCCTTCTGGCAGGCCCAAAGTTACCGACGTAGCGTTGCCGGTAAACCGTCCCGTGGAGCGCCCGTGCTTTGGTCAGGCCCCCCTCTGCCTTTCCTTCCCCAAAGAAAGGGCTCCAGCCCCACACCTGGCCACACCTCGGTGGGCGTTCCTCCCAAGCAAACGAGCCCTAGGCTGGCCTTCCCCCCTCGCCTGCTTTGAGGGTTTGGATTTCCAGTGCCTCCCATCACTGCTGGCCGTGAGCCACCCCACCCGGACTGATAGGTGCAGTGGGCCAAGCATCAGGGAGCCCCTCAGCCATGTGCCATGTTGGTCCGGGGGGACTGTGCCCCTGTCACCTGCCCGCGGTGGTGGGTGTGGCAGGGCCCGTCCTGTGCTCTCCAAGCAGAGGGACAGGGGGCTTCTTCCTGCTCGGGAGGCCACATCAGTGGCAGGGATGCTCTCGGAGGTACGAGGATGGCAGCCTTTCGGCTTGTATCTCTTGCTGCCAGCTGTGAACCCTTAGGAGGGGCATCTCAGCCTTTTCAGGTGCAGTGAACTGCAGAAGCTGGTGGCTGGTGGGGGGTGCGGCCTCCAGGGCCCGATCTGTCCCGGCAGTGGATGCCTTGCTTGACTCTTTGGGGTATGTAAATGACCCCTGAACGAACGTGCGTCTGTGCAATGTTCAGCTACTTTTGCTATGGGAAGGCAGTCCCCCCTTTGCACGGCTCCCCATGAATTGTGCAGACATCCAGCCCGAAGGCTGGACTGTCTCTGCCCCTGGTGCTGGCATCTGCATTGCCACGGAGGACATGTCTTCCTTCCGTGGCCACAGAGCAAAGCTTGAGCCACCCAGCGGGAGGTGGGGAAGCCTCTCCTGGAGAAGGGGAGCCAGGCGTCTGCTCCAGCCCGCAGGGGCCCGGCCCCTGTGGCGGCAGGTCCAGGCTCAATGCACTCCGCACTGCAGCTGAGGGGTGTCAGCTGGGGAGGGGAGGGGAGCGGAGCGGTGATTCGTTGCCTTACTCATTGATTGCATGCACACTCAAGTGACGCTGAGCAATTGTGGTGCTCTGAGAACCAGTGTGGTGTGGTGGTTAGCAGCCTGGGAGTCAGGAGATCTGGGTGCAGGCCCCTGCTCAGCCGTGACTCTGGGCCAGTCACCGACTCTCAGCCCAACCTACCTCGCAGGGTTGTGGTTGTGGGGAGAAGACTGAAAGCTGGAGGAAGAGAATGTTGCAAGCTGCTCCGAGTTCATTGCGGGGAAGGCAGGATCTAAGAAATAAATAGTATTTGGGTGACTCCACCTTTTGTCCTGGGCTAGGCAGAAGTGGGGTGGAGAATTGCAGGCCTGGTCCCTGAAGGAAAGCAGCAAAGCTCTGCTCCTTTGGCTTCGGTTCATGGTCAAAACGGAAAATGAACAAGAAGGAAAAGGAAAACCAAAGCATTTGTCCTGGTGACCTTCAACTATTGGGCCAAAGAACTTGGGGGTGAAGGAGACGTAACTAGTGGGCCCTTCTTTGAATGGCAAGCTGTGATTGAAGTGATCCAGGCTCTAAACTTCAGAGGATAGTGATGGTCATGAGGTGTGTGCAAGAGTCGGTTGAAATGGGTTGCATTTCTGCCATTTCTGAATGTGAATTAGAGTCACTGCAACCTCATCGGCACCAGACCTGGTTCTCAGAAGCACCCCTGAAATAACAGGGGTGTCTGTGCAGGGATGAGGGCTCCGGCCCACTGGGGGCCCCTGCTTTTCTCTGGGTTATCCTTCTTTTGTTC